GTGGCTACTTTGTTTGACTTTATCAGTTTTGCTGTCCTCTATTCCTTTAAGTGATTAGTTTCTGACCATAGGACTGCTGTCGGCAGGACAGTTTTGGGTGGCAGGCTGTTCTGAATTAGTTTATTGGTACAACATGACCTGTTAGCCCCATCATCTGATCTGAGTCCTTTAATAAAGAGTATCAGATCACAGTAGGCTTTAGGCTGGGGAGGGAGGAAGGAGCCATCCCCAAACTCTTCCCACAAAGTTGGGAGCACGAAATTGTCCAAAATCTCTTGATCTGCTGAAGCATTAAGAGTTCCTTTCACTGGAACTAAGGGGCCGAACCCAACTCCTGAAAAACAACCCCACACCATAATCCCCCTCCACCAAACTTTACATTTGGCACAATGTAGTCAGAAAAGTACCATTCTCCTGGCAACTGCCAAACCCAGACTCGCCCCTTAGATTGCCAGACGGAGAAGCGCGATTCATCACTCCTGAGAACACGTCTCCACTGCTCTAGAGTCCAGTGGTAGTGTGCTGTACACCACTGCATTTAATGCTTTACATTGCGTTTGGTGATGTAAGGCTTGGATGCAGCTGCTCGGCCATGGAAACCCATTCCATGAAGCTCTCTACGCTGTTCTTGAGCTAATCTGAAAGCCACATGAAGTTTGGAGGTCTGTAGTGATTGAGTCGGCAGAAAGTTGGCCATCTCTGTTCACTATGTGCCCCAGCATCCGTTGACCCCACTCTGTCATTTTATGTAGCCTACCACTTTGTGGCTGAGTTGCTGTTATTCCCAATTGCTTCCACTTTGTTATAATACCACTGACAGTTGACTGTGGAATATTTAGCAGCGAGGAAATTTCATGACTGGACTTGTGGCACTGGTGGCATCCTATCACGGTACTATGCTGGAATTCACTGAGCTCCTGAGAGTGACCCATTCTTTTACAAATGTTTGTAGAAGCAGGGACTTCCGGTGGCTCAAGAAACCGTATGGCAGCATAAGTTACAGCTCCGGTATTGGCCAATGAAATCCCTGAAATTCAAGAAACTTTGATCTTTAAACTGAATTTAAACTGAAAGGAAAATGAGTGGGGATAAAAATAGAAAAACGAGGTTGCGGTTAAGAAGCGTCACAGAGCAAGAAACGGAGAAAGAAGTCGAAGCCTTCGCGGCAGAATATCTATCAGGGGAAAATTGCGACACTTCGCAATTCGCAAAGTTGTATGTGAAGCTGTGTCTGACCTGAAATTGGACATGAGAAAAGAGCTATCCAAATTTCAGGTAAGTTTTAGACATGATATGAAGGTGCAACTGGATGAACTGTCTACCGAATTTAACCAGAAAATATCAAATGCTATGGGCCAGATTGGGGAGACTATGCAGCGTCTTGGAGAAGTAGAGAGAAGTATGGCAGAGACAAAGAGGTGAGATATTGGAGTTAAAGACTCCTTAATCTAGCTCATCAAAAACAAACGAACATTGCAGGCTAAACTGTGGAATAACTCCCGGCGGAATAACATTTGAATATACGGTGTACCGGAAGATGTCGAGGGCACCTCCATGCACAGTTGATTTAATCAAAACAGAATTGGGTGACCTTTCAGACTTGGAGCTCAGCATAAAAAGAGCCCACTGCGCGCTGGCCCCTAAGCATCTAGCTGGCATACAACCACGTTTGATTGTGGTTCGGTTCTTGCAGTTCACTATCAAGGAGAAAGTCATACAGGCTGCAAGAGGAAGAGGAAAATTTTTGTGCAAGACAAAAGGGTGTTCTTTGATCATGACTATGCGGAGGAGGGGCAATGGAGGAGAAAAGAGTACGTCACGATCAAGAAAGTACTCAAGGAAAACAAAATCCGCTTCCAAACTCCAGTGACCAAGTTGCAGGTGCACCTTGACTTAAGCATGGTTACCTATAACAGTGCTTTGGAAGCAGCTGAGGATTTGGTGAGGAGAAGAATTCCAGTGGGATATATTCGGGTGAAAAAAGAGGAAGACATCACGATGGAGTCCCTGGCTAGGCTTCTTCCTTGGAGCACAGTAGAAGTGAGTCAAGTGGGGAATAAATTAAAGTTCCAAGAAGGTATAAGGAAGAAACTTTGCAGTTTTGAAAGGATAAATTGAGAGCAAGAGAATGAGGAGGACTAATCCCCTCCCACCCGTGACAATTGACGGGATCCAACTATAAGTGACACTGGGGAAAGGCTAGTCCCTAGACCTATCAGATCACTCTAGTTTATATTTAAAATTAGATCTTGGTAGTACTCCTAAGAAAACCCTGTGGAGGTTAAACATGGGAATGCTAAATGGCACAAAATTCCAAAATACATACAAAAAGGCCACAATGGCAGATGAATTGAAGTCCTTTTTAATTCATAATAATAATGGAGAGGTCAATCTAGCTATATTGTTGGATGCAGCCAAAGTCTTAAATGGCTTTTATTAAGAAGTTAAAAACTCAAAAACTGCAGAATTTGGAAGATAAACTTAGAGACCTGGAAGACTTCATAGTTCAACTCTAGACCCATCTGTCCTCCAACAAATGAGACCAATTAAATGAGAAATATCTTAAATTCATAGCGAAGAGATTGAAAATAAAATAATATATATGAAACAAAAACTTTATGAGGCGGGACCAAAAGCAGCAAAATTACTAGCCTGGAGGATGGACTGTAGGTCTTATAGACCAATAAGTGTTCTCAATGTAGATTATAAATTGTATGCATCAATTCTGGACAAAAGGATGGAGAAGTTGATGCCTTTTTTGATAGAAGAAGAAGAGGATCAAACCAGGTTTATAAAAAACAGACAAACTCACGATAATATAAGGAGAGCCCTTCATATTATTGATGTTATTAACAGGAGGGAATGTAGTGCAATTATTCTTAGTTTGGATGCGGAAAAGGCCTTCGACTCGGTTGGCTGGGAATTCTTATACCAAGTGATGGATAGATTTGGATTTAATAAAACATTTATACAATGTATCAGAACACTATGCTCATCGTTGTCTGCTATGATTAAAATTAATGGGTCTCTTTCTAACTCTATAGCCCTACAGAGAGGCTGTAGACAAGGATGTCCGATTAGTCTGACTCTCTTCAACTTGTACATTGAGCCCTTGGCCCAAATCATCAGGCAGGACAGAGGTTTAGAAGATATAAACATTGGGGGCGCAGAATATAAAATTGCTTTGTATGCCGATGATGTGCTGGTGACATTACTAAACCCAGGATCAGGTGTACCATCATTGATGAATATTTTGAAAATATATGGTAATTACTCTGGATATGTACTCAATATTCAAAAAACACAAGCTTTGACATTTAATTTTAGCCCCTCTAAAGAATTGGTAAATAGGTATAACTTTAATTGGCACTCTTCATACATGTAATATCTTGGTGTTCGTTTAACAATCAGCTTAATAAAGAAAAATATATATATAAAAAAAAATAACATGTATACATATATGGACCTTGATGCTGCCAAGAGAGAAGGGAGGCATGGTGCTTCCATGCTTAAGGGATTATTATGTTGCTGCTCAACTAAGACCACTTGTACTTTGGTGCAATCCAACCTATGAAGCGAAATGGAAGGATATAGAATTTCACTAATGGATATTCCAATACAGTCAGTTTTAGGCTGTCTTGACAGGACTAAGGAATTACTGCAAATACAGAATCAATGGGTTGGTTTTTCCTTTTAAATCTGGCTTGAGGTGATTAAAAGATTCCAGCTTCATAGAGAAATTAAAGTACTGATTTGGCCAGCTTATAACCCATATTGTACTCCAGCATTGTATGATTATAGGTACAGACAGTGGTCTATAGGTGGTAATACTGCCCTCTGTAAAATGGTGTCAAATGGGGAATTTGACAGTTTCCAGAAATTATGCGACTCACTTGACCTTGGTAAACAGGATTTTTTTTAGATATTTACAGATCTGTCACTTCTATATGAAAGAGATTAAAGGCCCCAACCCGGTTCCTTTCTCATGACTGACTCAGTTTTTTATGGATGCATATGAGGGTGAAGGAAATGAAGGGGTTATTGGCAAACTGTACAAAGCCATCTGTTTAATGAATAAAAATTCTACTAATTATGTGAGACTTCACTGGGAACAAGATACACAGCAAAAGATCACAGAGGAAGTATGGTCACGAGTATGGGAAAACCATTGTACTTCCACTAATTCATTGTTTTGGAGGGATTTTTGCTGGAGGAGTCTGATCAGATTTTTTTATAACACTCAAACTCAAATTAAGGTTAACTGGGGCCCACTTCCCCTGCTGGAGGGAGTGTGGGGCAATGGATGTAGACCATGCACATGTACTATGGTGTTGCCCAAAAATTCAACCCTTTTGGATTAATATGGGGAGAATTATTTCTGAGATCTTGGGTTTTAATGTGAAGGTGTCATTTAACTCTATGTATCTTGGTGTAACCCCTGAAGGCTTAAGTAAGAGTGATGGCTACCTTTTGAATATATTTCTGGTCACTTGTAAGAAAGCTATTACTAAGTGCTGGCTCAGAAGAAACCCCCCAACTGTGGACCTTTTTGTTGAAATTGTTACTTATATTCGCTCCATCAAAATGTTGACTTACTCTGTACGTCTTCAAAAGGAGAGAGGGAAAAAAAACTGGATGAAATGGAATTACTACACCCGAGTAAGCGAGGTGAACTGAGACCTTTGGCTCTGATCATTCTGCCTTTTATATGTAAACGGAGATTGTTGTTGAGTTTTATGTTTGAAATGTTGTACCTGTAAACCTCTGACTTTAAATAAGAAAAAGAAAGTTTGTAGAAGCATTCTGCATGCCTAGGTGCTTGGTTTTATACACCTGTGGCCATGGAAGTGATTGGAACACTTGAATTCAATGATTTAGATGGGTGACTGAACACTTTTAGAAATATAGCATGTGTGTGTGTGTGTGTGTGTGTATATATATATATGTATAAATACACTGTATAAATACTAGCTGTCCCTCTTTTTCCCTCCTTTCTGCAGATTGTCTGGTTGCATGGTTACAGATGAAGGCTGTTCTTCTCTGGCTTCAGCTCTGAAATCAAACCCCTCCCATCTGAGGGAACTGGATCTGAACTATAATCACCCAGGAGAGTCTGGGGTGAAATTGCTGTCTGATCTACTGGAAGATCCACACTGTAGACTGGAGACATTACAGTGAGTTATTAACTTACCATCTCTACACACACACACACACACACACACATGCGCACACACACACACACACACACACACACACACACACACACATACACACACACACTTGTATGTTACCATGATTATTACCAAATTCATTTGCTCCATGTGTATTTCCAATAAGAGAGTATACTGTAATGCAACACTATTCTGTAATATTGCACTCTAATGTTGCATTGAGGATCTGTAGTACTGGATTATTGTGCTGTAATATTGTACTTAAATGTTACAATGTAATTTTGCACTATAATGTTGCCGTCTAATGTTGCAGAGTAATGTTGTGCTGTAATGATGCACCTCTCCAAGATTATTGTCAAAATTTAATGACTTTGGAACTTTTAATTGTTTTAGCTTGTTTTGTACTATAAGGTCTAACTTGCTCTCACAGGTTTTGTTGTCTGAGCCTATTTCAGTCTCAAAGGTCACTGACCCTATGACCCTAAGATTTTAAGAACAGAAAATGCTTAAACTGATTAATTTAAATATTGGAAACCTTATTAATGATGTGCTACGATATTGTTTTATAAAGGTGTGCTGAATTTCCCCCTGCAATGTTGTAGTGTAAGGTTCAGCTGTGACATTGTGCTGTGATGCTGCAGTGTGATGTTGCACTGTATGTACAGTACACAGGCAGGCAGGAACAGAAAGTTTCATGCCACAAAAACCAGGAAACAAGCAGCTCAAAAAGATAGAACACCAGAAACCTATGGTTCAGAACTTGGAATAAACACACAAAACTTTGCAAAAGCTGATATAGAGAATTACTTAACTTTTCAACCTACCTGATGGAAAATGTCTGCAGCACACATAGATGTGGATACTTTCAGGATCCCATAAACTCAAACCTTAACCCTAACTCCTATAATCACAACACATTTGTACAGAAATTAAAGTTTAAATATGAGACATGTAGTGGTCACTTACAGCATGGAGTCTCTAGATTCTTGGCCCCATGCCACATATCAAAGGAGTTGAATATTCCATGATACTTGTACCTGTCTCTCATTGGGCCTGGCCATTAGTTAAATATATGTAATGCTTTTTTCAACAGGCATTGTCATAAGGCAGATTTACAGAAAAAATATGGGTCCAAGCCCCTAGGAGCAAGCCAATGGCAATAGTGGCAAGGAAAGACTCCTTAAAAGCAGGAAAAAGAAGCCTTGAGAGGAACCAAGACTCAAGATTGTTTATAAAGATAATCATGTTTATCTTCACATGGGTTAGAGCAGGGATGCACAACTCTTTTTGAAGATCGATGTCCAACACAGTTGGCTGATTTCGCTGCTGAAACACTCCTGATTCAACTGAATTACCAAGTGGTCTGTGGAAGACTGAAAATGACTTAACTGTGCTGAAAACTGGTATGGACTGGAGTTAGGCCATCACTACACAGAAAAAAAACAGTAGACCCTTTACCCATCAGTGCAATCTGCCAATGTGCATCTGTGCATATGTCTTTCAGCTTGTTGTCTCAGCAGAGCTGATCAACTACTTGAATGAATGCCTCCTTTTCCATTGTAACAGTTTTCCATGTCTCTGTTGTCCTTTGACTCATTCTCCATTGCTGTAAATGTGCAGTACTGTGCACAGTGGCCTAAGCAGAGGAGTGAAATAAAGTATAAAGAAATAGAGTTGCTAATTGTTATTAAGTACATGCTTGCTGGACAACCCATTCCAAAACCATGGGCACTAATATGTGGTCTTGGACCTTTAAGGTTATAATAGCCTCCACTATTCTGAGAAGGCTTTCTGAGAACAAATTCTCTGTGGGAATTTGTGCCCATTCAGTCAAAAGAGCATTTATGGGGTCAGGCACTGATATTGAACAGGAAGGCCTGGCTCATATATGACATTGCAGTACATCTTGAAGGTGCCCAGGGGCTCAGTCATGCTGGAACAGGACAGACTCTTCCCCAAACTGCTGCCTCAAAAGTTGAAAGAATAAACCTGTTTAAAATGTCTTTGTAAGCTGTAGCTTTAACATCACCCTCCACTGGAACTAAGGGGCCTTCTAGACTTCCATCTACACTTCTAAGATGGTGGCACCTTGTGTGGCAATGGCTACTCCAGCTACCATTAGCGATGTGCATTTTAGGTTGAATGTACTCTTTATTCCGACACAGTCAAATATGAGATTAGTCTGTAGTCGCAGTACTCTCTGCTCGGACTGTGCATCCGACACATCTAGCAACTTACCTTGTGGTTTACTGGCTTTGGAACCCAAAACACTCCACAAACTGGAAATCCTACACTGGCAAACCCCAGAGGCCTGCACAGCATCGGTCTTATCTATCATCACTGATGGCTGCCTGTAGTGACATAAGTGGTGCAAGAGACTCGATGCAGTACTTGAGCAGGTATTAGCGTTAGGCTAAAAGCTAACCCCCACACACCTGCATCTCCATCTATTCTACTGTCAAATATCCGCTCACTGGAAAACAAAATGGACAGTTTGAGACTGGATTTAGCCACCCAACGCAAGGTGAGAGACTATTGTGCCCTTATCTTTACCAAGACATGGTTTAATTTCATTATTCCCGACAGCACCATTAGCTTGGATGGGCTAACATAATTAAAATGCAGACAGAAGTCACACCCTCAGTAGTAAACTTTGGATCTTGGGGAGGGGGTGTATGTATTTACATCAACAACAACCAGTGCAATAACGCTAATATTGTCCTGAGTCACTGTTCAGAAGATATAGAGTTCTTGATGCTAAAATATTGGCCATTGTATTTGCCAAGGGAGTTCACAGCCATTAGCATCACATCTGTTTACATTACCCCCTGGGGTAGCACAAAAGATGCACCATCCACACTATACCAGTCTGTCAGCATGATGCAAAATGCCAATCCAGACTGTGTTTATATCATCACTGAAGACTTTAATCAGGCCAACCTAAGGTCAATACTACCAAGTTACTACTAACATGTGGACTTAGCAACCACATGAGAAGACACACTAGATCGGGTTTACACATACATCTAAAAATAATTTCCAACCCACCTTGGAAATTCGGACCATCTGTATGTTATGCTAATTCCAACATACAGTCCACTGTTAATGGGAAGCAAGCCATCTGTGAAACAGGTAAGGACCTGGCCAGAGGGAGCAGTTTCAGCACTTCAGGACTGTTTTGAATGCACTGACTGGAATGTGTTCAGAGAGGTTAACATTGTCAACCAACACATCAGTGCTGAGTTTGTGACGGGATTCATATCCAAGTTTGTGGAAGATGTGACCGTTATCAAGAATATTACCACACGTGCCAACAGAAGCCCTGGCTCACCAGAGAGGTACATACCTTTTTGAGAGCATGTAATACTGCCTTCAAGCCTGGGAACAAGGCTCTTTGATCTGCTAGAGACAACTGCTATATTCTGTCTGTCAGGGAACTGCTGATCCACTGACAGATTGCCATGGATACAGTGAGCTGGGAGAGCTTGGAGGAGAGGATTTCTGGGATGATAGTGTTGAACGCTAAGCTGAATTCCGCAAACAGGATCCTTGCCTGGTAGGCAAACTGTAGGAGGTCCAGCAGGTGTCCTTTGACATCCTTCAGGTCGGCCAACATCAGTTGTTCAAAGGACTTTATGACAACAGAGGGATCTGTTGAAGATCTGTGTGAAGACTACAGCAAGTTTGTCAGCACAGGCTTTAAGACAGGAGAGGGAAACACCATCTGGACCAGGGCTTCTCTGACCTGCCTCTGAAAGAGAGGCTCACATCCATTTCATAAATCTGGTGCAGACTGAGTGTCTATGGGGGGAAGGGAGGGGGTTTGCTCACAGTGTGATGGAGGCTGATGCAGTTGAGCTGGAATGACTGAGAGGTGTGAATTTATCTCCTTCAAATCTGCAATAGAAAATCAAATTTAAAGATAAATCAAATTCAATGATAAATACCACTAGATTTAAAGTTTTAATTAAATGTTAAAGGGAGTTAAAGAGCTCCGTTTTCAGATGTTTATTAAAAGTGACCTCTGAGCTTGACTGTCTTATAAAAGGCGAACTGAGTTCCACAATTTAGAAGCAGAATAACAGAAAGAGTCTCTCCACGTTTTCTGTATTTTGCAGAGAGTATTTGTAGAAGGTCAGTATCTGCAGACCTAAGATCATATGCTGGAACATAAACAAACAGACACTTTGTGATGTAAGCAGTGCTTTAAGGTCATTTAAAGCTTTACACACTAGTAGCAGAACTTTAAAATGATACAGGCAGCCAGTGCAGCTCTTTCTAAATGGGAGTGATCTGATCTCTCTGTGTTGTTTTTGTTAGGATGCTGATGTATTTTGTACGAGCTGTAAAGCATGTGTTGTTTTCTTAGGAAGTCCAGTAAGAAGATCATTACAGTGATTAACTCTGCTTGTAACAAATGTATGAACAAGTCTGTCTGCATCACTCTGATAGAGAAAAGGCTGAATTTTAGCAATATTTCTCAAATTATAGAAAGCTACTTTAGTGACTGTGTTTACATGCAGGATAAAACAGAACTCAGAGTCTAAGATCAGACCCAGATTTCTACTGCAGATTTGGTAAATAAAGCTAAAGAATCAAGTTTCTCATTAAGCAGCTTTCTCTGAGTTTTTTTTTTATCAATGCTCAATATTTCCTTTTTTCGTGATTTAATTGTAGAAAATTTTGCAACATCCAAGGAGAAATATCTGACATACAGCTGGTTCTGTCTGTCTACAGTCTTGATCATCAGAAGGAATAGAAATGTATAATTGTGTGTCATCAACATAGCTATGGAAATTTATATTATACTTCCTAATAACATTGCCTAGCATGTACAAAGAAAAAAACAAAGGCCCTAAGACTGAACCTTGAGGGACTCCACGAGAAATGGCAAATCTTTCTGATGAATGAATTCCCATTGAAACCATGAACTGCCTGTTACCTAAATATGATTTAAACCATTCTGAACTGTGCCCGAGAGGCCGACCCAGCATTTGAGATGCTGGATTAAAATCTTGTGGACCTAAGATATAATTAAACCAAAATAGAAGGATTTTGTGCATCAGCTCTGTGCCTGAGGTCACTCATAATGTGAATCAATGCTGTCTCTGTACTATGGTTAGAAAGAAAACCTGACTGACCCGACTTCTCATATAACTTGTTTGATATTGGATGCGCATTTAATTGTTTTAAAAATAACTTTTCTAGGACTTTACTTAAAAAAGTAGGTTTGAAATTGGTCTAAAATTATTCATTATTATTATGGAAGGATCCATGCTACTCTTTTTTAGCAGAGGCTTCACCAGGGCTGTTTTAAAGCATCTGAAAAAACCACCTAGTGACAGAGAACAATTTACAATAGTTAAAAAATCATTGTGAACACGATCAAAAACCATCTTAAGAAATGAAGTAGGAACAGGGTCAAGATCACTTCTGGATGTACTGTTCTATGCATTCTAACAAAATGCATAGAACAGTTAATTTTTTAGTTGTTCAGTTTCCAAGAGGAGAGGATTTTGAAATGTATGCCTTGGAAAATCTGACACGTGACCCAGAATGAAAATGAAAGAAACAATGAAAGAAACCTGCTTAACAGAGAAAAATGGAGGTAATCCTAAGAAATGAATAGAACTTTACGCTTTGTATCTCAAGAAATGAAGACAGAAGCTTGGCTTAACTTGCACAGCTTTCCCCACTATTTTTGCATCTCAACAGTGTTACTATCTAAAATGCTTTAATTTCTCTCTTTACAACATGCAAGATGCAGTAGCACCCGCATAAATGTTTAGTAAATCTTGCTCTTAGTATCTTTTAGTGTTAATGTTTAATGTAATAGCATTGAAATAGATGTGAAAAAATTGTGTGTATGTATGTTTGCTTCTTTAGAGTGGAACATGGAGGGAAGAGCAGGATGAAACCAGGGCTGAAAAAATGTAAGATCCACACACATACACACACACACACACACACACACACACACACACACACACAGTTTGTTCTCTCCTCTAATCTGTGTTTTTGTGTGTAGATGCCCGTGATCTCACTCTGGACCCAAACACGGCAGCCACATGTCTCATTCTGTGTGAAGAGACCAGAGAGGTGTACTTTGAGGAAATTGAGCAGCAGCCATATCCAGATCATCCAGACAGATTTGTTTCCTGTGCTCAGGTTCTGTGTAAGGAGAGTCTGACTGGACGCTGTTACTGGGAGGCTGAGTTAAGTGAGGAGATGGATGGCGAAGTAGCTGTGACATACAGAGGAATAGAAAGAAAAGGAAACAGTGATGACTGTGGGTTCGGAAACAATAATCAGTCTTGGAGTCTGATCGGCTTTAGTAACGGATGCACTGTCAGTCACAATAATCAGAGTATTACCATACCTGTCCGTCCCTTTTACTACATCTCCAGCAGAATAGGAAGGTGTGTAAATGTGTTTGGGCTCCCAATCCCAATGAAGTCCATCAGAGTAGGAGTGTATCTGGACTGGGCGGCTGGCACCCTGTCCTTCTACAGCGTCTCATATAACCCACACCGACTGACCCACATACACACATTCCACTCCACATTCAGTGAGCCGCTCTATGCAGGGTTTAAGGTTGGTTTTGATACCTCACTGTGGGTGGGTGTGACAGAATAGCCACTTAACAGGGTTTGGGCTTTGGGCTAATGACTCATTCATGACACCCATGGAAATTCACAAGCGTACTTGAGTAAAATGGACCACATACACTACAGAAACACCAGATTTGTTTATTAGAGTATGTATGTTAATGAATGCCAACTGCTCTTCACAATTAACATGTTATTGGCATAATCCACGTCCATAAAATCACAAACAACTACCATATAAAGAAGCCATCAGACTGGGGTGATATTTCCTTCATACACTTGTAGCGTGCTTTGCTGTTTTTAATTCATAAACTGATCAGAACTTTTTGAGGAAAGTGAGATCTGCATCTGCATGCGGCAGGATGTTTAGAAGGACAAATAGTAAAATTATACTGCTAAAGACATGTCTCACAACCCCCATTTGCCCCCCCCCCCCACTTTGGCAACCTGGTGCAGAAGTGGGGAGGGGGGGTGGCTCACCTCAGAACAGACCTACTTTGACCCAGAGGTCTGAAGACTTTCTTTTTCTTTTGCCTAACAGTTTAAGGGCAACGTAGTGGAACGTCATGCCACCCCTTTATAAACGTCCTGAAGAGACCTTTGGACATGACTGAAGTAAATTTTGGAATACTGATAAATTGTGACTTTTGAAAATTTCTTTCCCTCTCTCTCTCACACCCATACAGCTCACCTTCCCCCACAAAGAGAGACATCTAACCTAAAACAAAGGCCAAAGATGGCCCACCAATTAACTCTGGGTGAGGGGACTGTTGAGACCTCACGAATCCCTGAGCAGACCCCTCGGTGTGGCCAGATACTCTTAAGTGTATTCCATCAGTATCATAAATTTGGGGTCTGTGCAGAGGCTAGGCTCCTGAGAGCCCTGCTTTCTGGCAAATTATTCACAATGTGATCTTTAATCAAGTATCAATCAAATGCCTTTCCTTTATCAAACTGCAAAGAACACCTCTGTTACTGTTAACATGTTGCCTTGTCAGGCATGAATTGATTAATCCCTGCTGAAGGGAATTAATACCAAACTTTCTACACTATATTCTTTTATATTCTAGTAGTTATTTTGATTCTTGAATTGTAACCCTTCTTCACTGATCTAGGTTATTATATTGATCTTTGATCATTCACAACTATGTTCATTTCACCCATTATACAATTTTTCTTTTTCTTTTGTTTGAGAAACAACTCATGTTTTGTGACCACCGTTAATCTTATATATCTGCTTTTCTTGCAAGTCTTCTTGTAGTGTTATTAGAAGTACGATTCTAAAGTGTGTAGCTTGTGTGACTATGTACACTTTAATCATAGAGTTTCTGCCAACATATCTACAGAATTATTGATGATTATGAACTCACTTATTTTACTCTGAGTTATTATGTAACCGTTCATGTAAGCATTGTTTAGAAATAGTAATGTGACATATAACCTCGAAACTGTCTTAACAATTTAATTCTTTTGTCTAAGTAGTTCCTACTTCTTATATGACTAGAATGGTTAAGGATTCAACTTATTGTATGTAACCATATCCTGGTATACATTAAGGGATAATGATCTATAAGCTCCATAGTCATTTGTAATAGCCACTATGGAAACAATAATGTTTTATATGTAAAATTGCATGCTTCTAAGTTTCTTTTACTTAAGTGTAACCACACCCAGAATCTCCAAAGGATTATGTGACACTTGAGCAGCATTCAAAGAAATTGCATATTCATTATATGTAACCTAACAAACCAACCAAAACCTTTTGCCCGCCTTAGCTCTGCCTTAGCTCTGCCCCTCAAAGTTCTTTCTTTAAAGCCAGCAAGAAAGAGAAACAGGGGGGAGAATGAGAAGAACAAACAGAAAGACAGGGAAAGTTGGCCCTGAAGGGAGCGAGATATCCACATCAAGAGCCTGCTCCAATCACTGCCTGCCTCCATCGACAAGCAGAAGATCTGCGCTCCTCACCGGAGAGGCCACCAAGCATTGCAAGAAGCCTGCCTTGCCAGTGGGGTCCAGTCAAAAGCATTGACCGAGGGCTTGCATTTCTAGAGGCCTTGCCTTTGACTTGCAGACCCTTCCTAGCCTGTGTGACCAGCGGCTCCTCTTCCTCGACATGGCACGCGCATCAACACAGCTCTGAGGCGTCCAGCAGCTTTGACCTTTGACCTGCGGACCCTGCTCCAGCCCATGCCAGCAGTGACCTCTCTTCCCCTCAACGCGACACGTGCATCACCGCAGCTCTGAGGCATCCAGGTCGTAGATTCACTCGCACTGCCCTTTTGTGGTCTCAGTCTCACTGTGATTTTGCTTTTCTTTATTGACACTTAGGCAAGCTTTACACTAGTGTTAGGGTTGTTGTGCTTGCTGCACAAAAGCCACATAATTTGGAAAATCAGCTAATCTTAGTAGTTTTGAATCTCTGGTTTCTTTCCATAACTAGTAATCCAATATTTAGTGCCTATATACCTTTGTAATTGATTGCTTTGTGTTTATATACCTCTATCAATAAATAACCCTTTATTACAGTCATCTCTGTCATGGTGTGCATATGAAAAACTTCAATCCGGCTTTGTTCCCTGGACCATGGTCAAGCCCTCACTTGAATTTAATTAAAATACCCGTGTCTTATGGTAAGTGGGAAATTAGGTGCTTTTGATGGCCTTGTCCCGCTACACACTGTAGAGAAAAAGCCTTGGTGTTTTAACTTTAAAAAAGTCAGAAAGCTGTTTTTTTAATTGAACTTATTCAAAAAATCGTTAAGGATAAGTTGGAACAGAATGTAAGAAAGATTATTATTGTTAATTTACTACTTGGTCCAGAAAACTAAAAATTTTTTTTGTAGAATGCAGCTTCACAAAACTTAATAAACGAAATAAAAAAAAAAACAAAGGGTTCAGTGCTTGAATTGTGCCATTTTTAGCTCACTGCACCTAGGCTATAATTTAAGCATATCATTTAAAACCATGCTCTACTTGTTTTCATGATTTTTTCATTTCTCTATTATATGTAGTTTTGTAATTTTTCATAATGAACTGGCAAAGGGAGAATGTAGTTGGGTTTTTTCTGTTGAGAGATTTGAAATGACTTTTTCTTCTGTTTTCTTCAGTTCGACTTAAGTTGGGCATAACCATTTTTTTCATAGTGATGTCAGATTTGCCAAAGTACAAGAGCTGGGAATATGTACACCAGTTTTGTTAGTGAAAACTATGGCGCAAAATAATTTATTAACAACCTATTTTTCATTACAAAAATGTGATGAGAACGAAATAGGTCAACAAATAAAAACTAAATGATAATTTGAAAGACTGACAAATGGACAAATTATTTTTAATTCATTTATGTAACAACAACAACAACAACAAAAACAAGGACTCTGTAACAAAAAGTGAAAAAAAATGTAAAAAAGGGAGTATCCAAACATAAAATGTTTCATATCATCCTGTTCTCTGCTTCCAATCAGATACAATTACCTAGCAGAACAAAAGCTCCATTAGAATGCCCACTCAGTAGAAATATGAAAATATGAAAAGTACAAAAATATACTTTCAGAACATCTACTAAGTAATAATTATTTCTATGTGAAACTTTGTGGAATGCCTTTTAAAAATCTGAGCAGAAAAAAAAAAGAAAATCGAGAGCCTTTAAAAACTGTGGGCTGGTTTCCAGACACAGATTAAGTCTAAACCTAGACTAAATACACTTTTCAATGATGAAACACCATTGGTACATGTAGTACATGACTGGAACTGGCAGCATCTGATATTGTTTTCCTTTCATTGATTTTTGTTACACTTTGGTCTTAAGCTAATTTTCTATCTGCTAATGATTTTATGTTTTTTTAGGTTTTTTTATTGTATACAGAAAGTGTTTAAAAGAAAAGGCCAGATGAACCAACCCATAGATGTTACATACACAAAATCTCCATATGCAGTGGATAGTGATGGCCTACATAGAACTGTTATTGCTGTGAGGGAGAAATGCAAATCTGTGTCTAACATTAGGATTATAGCGCATAAGTGTGACATTTGAAATCTGATTGAAATATGTTTTATCTGAGTCTAAATCTGTCAGGAAGAGAAGCTCTCAAAAGAGAAAAAGAGGAAGGGGACTTTGTACATTTTAGAACACATCTCAGAATTGCTTATGTATACAAGAACAAACTGTTCTTAATCTCTTTAACCCCTTACATAGTGAAGCTGTCATTAAAATACAAGATGAATTGCTACCCCGCCTCAGGCAGGAAGACAAATTTAGCATGGAGAGGCCCGAGGCTGGGGCGGTGGCGGGGCAGTGGAGGGGTGGGGAGCTAAAGGACAGGGAAGGGTGCGGGTGCAAGTGTTGTGGGGCAACTGCTGTATATATGTATCTGTGTGTGTTTAATAAACTAGGAGGTTGGACAGAATACATTGACTCTGTGTGTTCATTCTCTTGACTTTCCCTTGAGCTCTAGTAAGGGTCTATAATGAAATTAACAAAAACTTACACTACAATTGCTACATGCAGAAGGAGGAAAATATGGTACATCATGTTAGACAGTTTATGTTACATAGCTGTGGGACCTGTATTCATGTGAAAAATGGGAAATTCTGTAGCGTTCCAGCAATCTACCACACTCATTGATCTTTCTTTTCTTCCAAACACTTCTGGCATAAACATTACAAGGCTACAATTGTAGTTCCTAACACACATAAATATGAGTTTAACCAACATTTCAGATATTGCAGTGTGTATATAAGAAATGTACATGTAACATGCAACACAATACCATCAGTTATCATGGTTCAGTGACCTGATAACCTTGGAAATCTAAAGATTGTTTGTCATATTAACATTTCATCTTAAATGCTTTAAGCTTTATTGAATGTTGTCATTTTAACATGTCCTAACACATATTAGGACATCTTACTACTAATGCTAATGTTAGGCTAAAAGCAAGGCAAAAATCAACATATATCAAATGCTTCAGTTAATACACTATCAACTCTCAAAATTTGTCAAATGTGTTATTTGCAGATTTTTTAATTTGTTCTTCAGATTTTAAAATATATAAGTTAATAACTACAGTTGAAGTTGCAATGTAGTTCTTTTACTATGACGTTGTGTTTGGTAACTCTTGTGTAAAGGAAATAAATACACATTTATGGCTTTAACATTTTTCATCTTTCAGTATCCACTATCCTCACTGTATGGCTTACATTAGAATTAGTCTCAACAGATTTTGCCAATTCTGCTTCGGGCAGGTGTGCTCACTGACCCTAGTGTGTGCGTGTGTGTTCTCTAGTGTGTATGTGGGTGTTTCACAGTCTTGGGTAAATGCAGAGGCAAGCACAGTTGGCCAATGGTTCTAAATAGAAAAAAATAGATAGACATTTTTAAAATTGATTTTTTAGAAAACTAATAATAAGTGGTTGGGCAACCTACATACAAAGAGAAAAGGTTACAAATTTTGCCATGTCTCTGCTATAATTTGATTCACAACAAGAATATGCCTAAATTTTCAGTTCCATAACTCTTTTGCATAGAGAGCAGTGAATCTCTGGTTATCACAGCATCATGCAAGAAATATTGGTCCAGTGCAGCAAGACTCCTGGCAAGCAAAGAAACACTTTAGCTTCCTATAATGTTTTAAACTCAAAACAATTGAAAAGTCACTGAGAAAAACATTATTACAATAATGTCACTGTTACATGCCTGCGATGCATGAATGTTTTGTTTTTGTTTTTTTTTTCTTTCTCTCTCTCTCCTCTTTCGCCCAACCAGATTGTGGTGCAGGTGTGGACTAAAGGACAAATGTGGACATCAAATGCTTGGCTGTGCTCTTCTCTCCACCAATCCAGATGGCTGCTTTCTGCTGAGGGGCGGACCTTGGCAGATAAAAGGACTCACCTGAGACTAGTTATGGAGGGGATTGTTTAGCGTGCATGAGACTTGTGGTGTTAAGCTGTGTTACTTTAAGCTGAGAATATGTAGCCAGTAATGCTAGTCTCCTGTGCTCCCTCTCTAGCTCTCTCTCTGCTGTTTTCTCTCTCCCAGCGCATGTGTGGACAGGCAAGTTGGGCGCGCCTATACATATGCACACACAATAGTGGTCAGATTGTTTAGATACATCAGGAATTCATTTTAGTAGAGCTACAAATTCACTGTAGAGCTGAACATACATTATATGGATAAAAGTATTGGGACACCTACACATTAAACCTACAGGAGTATTTTATGAAGCATTAATATGGAGCTGGTCTCCTCTTGCAGCTCTAACAGCTTCCACTCTTCTGGGAAGCTTCTATAAGATTTTGTAGTGTGTCTGTGGGAATTTGTGTCCATTCATCCAGAAGAGCATTTGTGAGGTCAGACACAGAGAGGGTCTGACTCAAAATCTCCGTTCTAATCTAAACGTGTTGATGGGGTTGAGGTCAGGGCTCTGTGAGGGACAGTTAAGCTCTTCCACACCAAACTCACCCAGACATGACTTTATGGACCTGACTAATGTAGACCCAAAGTTTTCCAACATCTGAATACTCAAGTATATTTAAACGTGTCAAATAGATTACTGACAAAATCTGATTTTTTGCAGTTATTGGATTATTAAATCCACGTAAACGCACTCATTGAGTTTCCGGCTGGCCAGCAGCCTGCAAGGTGATCTTCATTGTCTCTAGGCCCAGCTCTCCCAAATTTTACTGTGCTTGACATCGGTGTATAAGCTAAATACTAGAACTAAACTAAACTTCTGAAGATGGAAGCAAAGAAAGCAAGAAGGTCTGGCTGCAGACATGCACTCTTTTAACTTATTGTATATGAAATTAACTATTTTCAAACATGCCAGTTTATTTTCAAACTGTGTGTAAAGGAGAAATCTATTGAGTTAGATTGTGTTGTGTGAAGAGAAGCCTCCTGTGTGCTGTGTTAGTTCAGTACATGATACCAATTTGGTAGCCCCTGTTCTTTTACAATGATATGATTAAAATTACTTGATTAATATTAACTAATATGATTTGCCAATGTTAAGAATAGCCCAGGATAGCTAGCTAGTTAGCAAATCTTAGCTCAGTCAATTCACAACCAATGTTTTAAATGAATAACTTATATTTTACTAAGGCTGAATCTCTGAATCACAGTACCAGACAAACATTTACATGTAGTAAATAAAATAAAACATGCATTCCTACCGTCACTCACTCATATACACACACACATAAACACAGTCATACCACAACAGTGAATTTGCATTAAATATTTAGATAATTAAATTACTTTGCAATGTAAACATATACTAATATTTTTTTTAAATATTGAGTAATAGCAGATTTGAGGTAAATAAGGAAACTGCAGTAAATAAATACAAATATGATTTTTCAGTAGTCAGGTGTGTGTGAAGTATTGCAGTGTGTTGTGTTTTTTTTTTATTTTTTTTTTTAAGTTAACTGTGTGTGTGTGGTGAGGTGTGTTGGGCTGGGAGGGTTTATGGAATGAGGAACAAAAGCACTGGATCTACTTCTTACTCATCATTCACCTCTTTCTTCCTCTTCCCTGGTCTTCAGCCAGGTGCAACCACCGTTTCATTGCAGATTCAATGTTGTTCTCCGATGCCTTCAATGTGACAGTGTTC